TAAAGCCAGTAATTCCAGTGCGAATGGCTCTCCGCATCGTGCTGTCTGTGACCGTGCGGAACTTGAGCTAACTTCCTTGCGAGAGGCTGGTGCGGGCCGTCGCATGGGTTTGAAGCAAGCTTTGCACAATGTGACAGGGGGAGGGGGGCTGTTGTACCGGGGATTAGTTTGAAACACATACTCGCATCTCTGCTGCCGTGTTTAACTCATCCTGGCTGCGGCTGCAGCTTAGAGACCAGCTTGGATGTAAGCCAGCAAAGGGTGACCCCACACCCTTGGGTGGGGGGAAGCGCAGCTCCAGTAGATACCCGGAGCAGCAGGTATTGTGTCTGCATGTTGGGCAGGAGTGCTTAATTTGGGAGTCTTAGTATAAAAAGTTAAACTGCTGTCGGTATGACTCTGGCTGATGAGTTCCATCTGCGACCTTGCCGACGTGCCCTGCGCTGGAGTCACTGGGAGAGCCAGGATGGAGGGGGGATGTCCCTGCTAGGGAACGTGGGGACGCTGGAGCCGTTCTACCTCCTCCCCTGCTGCAAGGGCTGCGTAGAGATCCAGGGACCACTTTGCTCCCCTTGCTCCGTGCCAGCTCTGCCTGACTCCCCGAGTTTTGATTAAGAGAGAAAACAAACTGAGAGGAGACAAAGTCCCGTTAGAAATGCCCCAGCAGCTTCTGAGGAACGAGGGCAAGGGACCCCCTGTCCCCTGCGGAGCTGGCTGCTGCCACGTCTGCACACCCTCCTTGGGAAGCCCTGGGAACCCCAGCTCTTCATGTGGAGCCTCCGGAGTCGAGTTGGAACTGTAATTACAGCAAAGAAGTAATAGCCAGGTTGTCTTGTCTTTTCAATTAGTGTAATGAGGCTTCTATGCAAGAAGGATTTGAATAGCTAAGAAGCTTAAATAAACTTGGTCTTGGAATCATAGCTGGCGATGGGGGACTGACCAGATGGTGTAATCCTCCTGCCTGCCCAGGCTTGCCCATCCCCTGCAGTGAGCTTCCTGCTGCTCTGCTCCCCTGAGTTTGTGTTCCCCTCGTTTCCCCCCATCTCCGGCTTTCCAAGGGCCCATCCGTGCAGTCTTCTCTTCCAGGATAAAAGAGCCTTTATTGAGCTGAAGAGCCTTTTAAGGCTCTGTGACTGGGACACAATCCCAAACTGCTCTGAATTTGGGAGTAACGTTTGGGAATGAACTCTCTGCCCAGCTCAGCCTCTGGTGCTGCTCAGCACCGCTCATTTTGGTTCTGCAGTGACCGCTCCCTTGCAGTCGCCGGATGCTGGTGCTGCACCATCTGTTTCGCCCTCCCGTCTGTGGTTCTCTGAACCGTGCCTGAAAGCTCGTTTCGTGGTGCAGCTCTCGGTCCTCTGTGGTTTTCTCACGTCCTCAAAAGAGGTGGTGAAGGCTTCTTCCGAAGGGCGGTGTCCAAAACCTGGTGTTGGGTTCCTGTCCTCTCTGTAACCCTCCTGTGTGTGTCTTGATGGTCAATGCAAAGCACTCAGCCCCCATTGAATTGCAAATGGATTCAGGGAGCAATTTTTCACGTAGGTATCTGAGATGATCAAATTAATTTAAGCAAAATAATACAAATATTGCTGGGAGGGGCAGATAGGGAGCAGTACCGCAGGGTCAAATCCTGTGCGCCTGCGCTCAGGGCAGGCGTTTCTGACTCCTGTCCCTGAGGACGGCAGGGGGTGGAGGTGAGACTGCTCCCGGACAGACCGGGCTGTTATTTGGGAAGGTGTGGGAAGGGAGCAAGGCTGCACCTTGCAGGGCCACGTGCCTGGCTGGCCCTGTCGTTGGGCTGGCAGGGATGGGGCTCAGTGCCTGGGCAGGGGCTGCGGTCCGGATCTGCGCCCGTGGGGAGCGTGTAGGGTGGGCAATGGTGGGGAAAGTGGCGCAGGAAGGTGGCAGGGCTTTGTCGGCCGTACAGGGAACCGGTCTGGCGCTCTGCCCGCTTTCCTCCTCATCCCTCCGAGCCTCGCTAACCCGGTGCTGTCGTCTGCCTTGTCCCCAGGTGAGCCAGCTGAGCAGGCACTTCAATATACGGCCCTTCTCGCTAAAGAAACCCACGCCAGATTGACTAGGAGTGGAGGAAGAGAAAATCGGCTTGCGGTCTGCAGAAGTACTGTAAATAACTGCTGCAAATACCTGTAAATACTTCAACCATCACCACGGATCTAAACCTATCCTCTGGACAGACATCAGGGCAAAGTACGCACGGTATCCGGTGCAGCCAGGGCACGACTGGTACGGGGCAGCCCCCGCTGCTGTTCGATGAATGCAAGCTTTCGGTTTTGGGTGAAACCGGACGAGGAGGGTAGCCTTTCGGGTCGCTATTACTGTATGTTAGACCAGCTGAATGTTCCCAGTGAAACCTCAAACTCCAGCTCTTGCTCAGGTAAAGCTGGTTGGGGATGCAAGTGGCTTTACCCGAGCAAAGCATCTTGACCTGTCACCAAAACCAACGTAAGAGCTGATTTCTGCAAGGTCAGGGGAACATCCTGGTGATCGGGGGAGTTCCCGTCTGTCCCTAATCCCGCTAGACAGCCCTTGTCCTGGGCTGGTACTTAGGGAGCAGATGGTGACAGTTCTCCCACATTCTGTCCTGCCTTCCTGCATTCACCTATTTGGGCAAATACTTGCACCATTTTTTTGGGTTGGTTTTTTTTTTTTTTTAAAGAGGAAAAAAAGAACAACACACAAAACTTCTAGTAATGTTCTGCTTGGGGGGAAGGCTTAGAAAATCAGAGCTTAATTTCCTGTAAAAGTGGGAAGGCGGCTTCTGCCTCCCCTGCTCGAGCTGGGGGTACCTGGGACCACATCTCGAGCGTGTTCCTGTCTGTCCGTCTGCGTTCCCTGCCTGGGAGTGGGGTCTGGGCTCCCGCCAGCAGCAGAAGGTGGCTTACACCAGCCTGTCTAACACAGAGCCAAACTCCCCCCCTCTTCCTACCCGTAGGAACTTGCTGTTTCAGGTCGGCTCTGCTGGGTCACTGCACGCTGCCCGAGCCTCTTCTTTTGTAGCAGTGCAGCCAGGCTCAGTCTGCTCGTCGCCCTTCCCACCAGACCATCAACGGCAGCAAATCCACCGCTCGGAGAAGCACCTTAATAAGTGTTGTGTTGGTTGTGTGTGCACTGTCAGAAAGCTCGCAGGCGTGTGTGTGTGGTGGGGTCCTTTCCAAATATCACTTTATTTTCGAAACCGTTGTCCCCAGCGGCTGCATGTCTCATCCAGGGATATATTTGTTTACTGTCTGTTCGTAAAAGACATGTTTGCATTGATTTTTTTCTTTTTTTTTTTTTTAACTTGTTTTTGTAATTGAGTTAGAGTGGGGTGGTGAAGACTGAATGCTGATTTTCTTTTCTGGTCACTTTATTTAATGAAGACCTGTGCTTGAATGAAGAGTGTAGCTTAAACCCAGGCTCTGGAAAGGCTGCATCCGGAAGCGAACAAGCACAGCAGATTGTGCATATGTAATCTACCATGGGAACAAAGTCGCTTATACACTGATAATTGTGCAACGTGGTTTGTAGACGCTTGGTCACAGCGCTTTCCTTCTGCAGGTGAAGACTCCTCCTGCTTTAGGAAACCTTCAAACTCTTAACTACTATTTTAATGCTTTTTTTTTCTTTTGGAAATTTGAGTCGTCGTCGTGAGGGCTACGAGACTTGAAATCCGGAGGCGAGCTCACCGCTTCACTGCGGCGTCGGGGTGGCTCGGTCACGGTACGCCCTGCGAGGAGCGAGCCGGGGTCTGGCGTCGTGGGAGGGCTCGGCCGAACGTCTCTGCGCTCGCGTGTCTGTGTGGCTGCGTGGCTGGGAAGGGTGGCTAACCTGGGAGCAGGGGCGAATGGTTTTCAGAGTTTATTTAATAAAGTAGCTTACTCCTATCTATTTTGCTGATGTTGTACAGAAAAAAAACCTGTGAGTGTACAAACGAATTGGGCTGCGCTTGAATTGAACTCTTGCTATTTAATGAAATAGAACTATGAAGGGAGATAAATTTAAGTCACACTCGCACAAAAATTACAGGGAATCTTAAAATGGGACGCAATGCTTATCTATGGCACGTGTTCAGATAGCAAAATTGTGCTAGCAGCACTGACGAAAAGTGGAGGTCGGATGATTGACTTTTTAGTTATGTGTTTGCAGGACCAGGGAATAACTGAGCTGTTCCCTTGGGCTTTCAGCTGAGCTCTGAGCTCCAGCTTGCCTTGTCTTGTCTCTTCCCACGAGCGTTACTGGGCCAGTGCTAATGCTGTGAGTTGTCTGATCTTAAATCTTAGCATGCCACTTTGGCTCCGTAATACACTGTTTGCCTGTTGTCTCGCCTAGCTGTGAGCTGGTGTGCTTCTGCAGCACGTAATCTACCTTGAAAAACCTCTTTGTGAAGTTACAAACACGTGGAAGCAGAGCTTCCTCTCCAAAACCCTGCAAATACTTCTCGTGCTGTAGGAGAAAGATCTCTCTTAAAAACTGGAACCACTTCTTATCTGCACAGGCTTTTATCTTTGGAGAGTCCTGGATTTTTGGTGCCTTAATTTATTGCACCTTGAAACTAGAAAAATCTCTCTTAAATCAGTGCTGGAAAACGGGCTCGCTTGTCCCTAGTGCCACCAGGCTGGTGGCAGAGCGAGGAGAGAGCAGACCTGATCTTGGTGCACATGCGACTGTTCCCGACTCGTGCTGATGCGAAGCTGGGGGCAGGGAGGGTTTCTGTGTGGGCTGTTAGAAATTCAGCAATTTCTGCTCCCGGATTCTGGGAGGGGAAACGGAAACAGAAAGACCAAACCATCTTGTCATGGCAGGGCGTGGCATGCTGAGAAACAACCTATTTATTAATAATAATGGTTTTTAAGTCTTAAGAATAAACGTATTCCTCGCTAACAGCATCTGAGGGTGATTGTGTGGTGGTGCTTGCTTGCCTTGCTGGCTCGGCTCTGTCCTTGCAGCGGGATGTGCTCCTCGGGATGGGACAGCGTCCCGTGCCCGCGGGGTAGGACGTGCGCTCGCTCCTCGGCTCCTCCTCTCCGGTATTTGAGAGCTGATCTGTGTTGTCTTTTCTTCCAGGGATAGCGTTAATCATAGTTTCTTAATTACTGATGGACCTGCTGAGTTGATAATAGGACTGTCTTATGCTTTCCTAAATCCGTTTTGCACATTTTATCTCAATACAGAGTATTACCAGGAAATAAAAAAAACCCCAAACCTGTTCAGGGAGAGGTGCAGTTTCAAGACCCGCTGGGATGTCAGTCTCCTGGCCTTGGGCTCCAGCCAGGTCCTCGTGTTGCGGGAAGAGGTGGCCAGCGCTGCCGGCCGCTCCTGGTCCTCGCCACGCCGCGGCCGGTCAGCCTTCGCTCTGACGCAGGTTTTTGAGTAGCTGGGGCAGAGAGGCGGCCTCGCTTGCAGCCTTTTCCAACTCTGTCTTGTGGTTCGTATCACAGCTCCTGCCTCTGCACCGATCCGGGGACCTTAGCGCAGGAATTCACAAGCGGAGCTGGGGCTGAAGTGCAGATTTTGGGACCTCCTGGGCTTCAGGCAAAACTGGCCGGCATGCTAAAAGCAACGTTTCCCAAGTACAAATGCTGCGGCTGACCTGTGGGCCTACAAACGAGCACCTGCGCACCGTGGTTTGAGCTTGTTCCTTTCCCACGGCGTGTCCGTGCCGCAACTCCTCTCTTCTGCGCTCGGTCACTGCAGGGGCTCGGCACCAGTTCTCTCCTCTCGCAAACGTCAGCCACGCGATACAGGCGGCTTTGGCAGAGCCGGGGGAGCAGCATGTTGTAAGCATGAGCTTCTAAGGCTCTGGAAACATATATTTAAGTTCCTTAAATAGAGCTGGCCTGATGCTACCAGCCGGGCGCGTTGAGTACCTGCAGTTTGAGAGCTGTTTTGATCTCAAGTCACTTCTAACAAGGCCCCTAAACTCTTGAGAGCGTCTGTGCCTGCTTGTGATAGACCTGGAAAGTCTCCAGAGAAGTAGTGCTTTTTGGAAACTAGCTCAGAATGTTTCTTTTTTTTTTTTTTTTTTTATACATGGGTCCAAGTTGATTTTTGTGCAAACACAAGCCGTAGCTGAGTTCTGCCCACCTTAGTTCATGGCAAAACTGTGCATGGGGTTGCTGTAGCCTTCCGAAACCTGCAGGACCTTCCCTGAAGCAGAGTCTTGTTTCCAGTCATTTCTTTTTGCTTAGTGTGCGTCGCTCGCTCAAGAATTGGGAGTCCTTCAGCGCACCAGCATTCCCTTACACACCCCCATCCCAAAATCTTCCAGTGCAGCGTGTCAGCCTTGCTCCGGTGCCGTTGGCCAGCGGTGGTGATGGAGCTAAGTCAGCTAAAAGCTCGTTTACTTTTTGCTTTTCTAACGCAGATCTGCAACCCTGGTGCGGGGTTGCAAACTTGATTCGTGCTCCCACATGTTCTACCTTGCTGTGTCGGTGCAGTGGCCGAGGCGACGCGGAGGCTGCTCTTGGTGGGATGTGGTGACAATGGGTGCTACGCTGACCTCTTTGCTTCTGGAAAAGGTCACCCTTAGTTTGTAGAAGACCTTTTGGCCCATCCAGGTGTGGTCAGACCTGGCTTGAGAGGTCTCCAAGGAAGCGGTCAGGGTGTCACTGCCCCAGGAGCGGAGGTTCTCGGTGAAATTTGCTGCTCGCCCTCCAAGGTGCCATTCATCTCGGCCAGCGGCACCTGTGGTGGCTGCTTGGTAGGAGCTGGTGCTGTGCTTCAGGTTGGAGACCTCGTTACCCAAATCTTTTGCCCCAGCAGTGTTTCAGATTGACCTGCTTCTGTCCCTCGAGCCTTCAGCTGAAGTGGATGCTGGATTTGGTAGTTGTCCATGTTGTGCCAGTGCCAGCCCCCTCTGGAAGAGGAGGGTGGTGGGTCCCAGCCTGGTTTTGGCTCTGGTCTTTTGAGTGAGTGCTGAATCGCTCTCTTCTCCAGCTGTAATCCTGCACCTAAAGGCAAACCAAGGCAAGAGCATCAAGCCCACCCCATAGATGGGCTCCATGGAGTGAACTGGAGCATTTCAGACTCAACCCTTACATCTGAGTGGTTTTGGAAACAGTCCCGGCTCTTCAGGCTCTTACTGCTGGGCCCCTGGTATTAGCGCAGGACAGAGCGCTTCTCTGCAACCCTTCAGAGCATCTTCGAAGCCTTGCGTCCATGTGGCTGTTCACTTTTCCTGGGCAGGGTAGGGAAGGAGTTGGTGATGCTGCCTCGTCCTTTTAGAAATAAGTTTGGAGGCACTAACCGGACTCTGCAGCCCGGTCTTCTGCCACCGACCCCCTGCGCAGCGGGGCTGGAGAGCCAACGCTGCCGGCTGCTGTCCTGGGTTCCTGGGCCGTGAAATGATGTGGGGACGGACGCGTTTGGTGCTTGTGCTGGTGCGGTGGTTTGGTTCTGCCCCTTCCCCACTGAAGCTTTGAGGAGCCGCTGTCGGTGGGAGCCTGGTTCCCCTGGGGCTCAGGGTGCTCTGCCAGGCTCCCCACCGGAGCGGAGCGAGTCCGGTCCCTCTGCCCCGGGTTGCCCCTAAATAGAGATCAGATGGAGCAGCCTG